GAGTATAAATAGGGGCAGGACGTGTGGAGGCCAGTTGGTGGCCGGGCTGACGGCTTTTTGACACCTCCTGTGGAAGGGCAGCTCTGCTGGTTGCAGTGACCTTCACCTTAACGCTTGCCCGCATCTCCGTGGAGCTTCTCTAGAGCAGGTCCCTTACTGAGCAATTGCCATGCTGATGACTGCAGCAGAAAAGACATTACCATCTAAATTCTCCTTCTTTTACCACCAGAGAATCACATTTTAGAAGATGTAAACAAATGCGTCATCGCTCTCCAAGAGAAAGACGTGGATGGCTTAGACCGCACGGCCGGGGCAATCCGGGGCCGCGCCGCTCGCGTCATTCACGTGGTCACCTCCGAGATGGACAACTACGAGCCTGGAGTGTACACTGAGAAGGTGCTGGAAGCAACCAAGTTACTGTCCAACACAGGTAAGGGTCGCTTACTCCCAGGAGCCCTGAGCTGCTGTTTGAGAGCTTGTGGGCAGCTGGGGACGGCGTACCTGTGAAATCTGCTAAAGACTCCATTTGCTGCCGTGCAAATTAGTGGGAGTTGTTTGCAAAGCTGTTGAAAAGTGAGAAGTTTGGTTTTGCTGCATGTACTGGCTCAAGGCTCAGCGGTGCACAAGGTGTGCTCACTGTCATGGACTGCACTGTGGGAAGCAAAACCACCGGGAGTGTGTCCCAGACGTGAGGGGAGGCTTGAATTTGTGCTGTGCTCATCTTGGAGCATTGCACCAGGCTCTGCAGCTGTTCAGGGTCCAGAAGGAAGATCACGTTCCACAGCAGAATAAATTCAGGGTAATAATTAGGGTAAATTTTGTAAATTGTCTTTACAACTGTTGAAAGAGCACTGTAGGTTGTAGTGCCCCACACATAAACACCAAATCAGGGTGTTCCCTATGAACTACTGGTGACATCCACAAGGGTAAGGGGTGAGCCTGGCTGCTTCAGTGCCTGCCACTCGTTGTTGGTTTTGTTTTAATTACTTTGATGAAGAATCAAGGGTGACACTGAAGGAACAGCAGACTCTTAACTGGTTCTGGCATGTTCTTCCTGGGGCACCATGAGTCACTGAAATGCAGCAGTGCAACCTGCCCCCTTCCAGTGTTTCTTAAACCAGAGTTTGTTGACGTAGCATGACTGCTTTTTCCCCCCAAAAATGATGTACATCTTCAGGGAACATCAAATAAACAATTGATATTTTATCCTATAGTTTCTAGGGGTGTCCCCAGGTCTCCTTGTCCATTAGAGGAGTGTGATAAACTTTTCACTGTCCAAGGGGAAAACACCAAAGAGCAGCAGCATAAGCAGGAGTAAGAGTTCACCTCCAGTCCCAGGTGTTGTGATTTCCATGGAAGGAGTGCACAGCTTGCAGGGGAGTTTAGAGCAAGGGAACCAGTGAGTGGCTCGGGGAGGGACTGAGCAGCTCTGTGCTCTGGTTTCAGTCATGCCGCGCTTCACGGAGCAAGTGGAAGCTGCAGTGGAAGCGCTGAGCTCCGACCCTGCCCAGCCCATGGATGAGAACGAGTTCATCGACGCCTCGCGGCTGGTGTACGACGGCATCCGCGACATCAGGAAAGCCGTGCTGATGATCCGGGTGAGGACAGCTTCCCCCAGCAGCTTTCCCTGCCCCTGTAGGACTGACAGCCAGAAGGATAATGGAGAGCAGGCAGGAGAAGATTCTCATTTAGCTCCTATTAACATTCAGAGTCTTAAAACGTGCTAATTGCTGTGGAGCGCTTGAGCAGTTTGGGTTCAGATTCATCAGCCAGGTCTGAGCATCGCTGATGGCCCGAGTTGTGATGCTGAATCCCCATCACACATCTTGTGCTAAGATCAGTGACCTTTCAGTTAACAACAGCAAATTAATTCAGAACTATAGATGCTTGATGATGCTTTGAGAGCTTAGAAATAAAATCTAATGGCTCTTCATTAAGTAAATTTTGAGAATTAATGTTAGTTAGTCCAAAGGAAGCTGCGATGGGTTTGGTCTGTAGTTCCATGTAATTTGTAAATTGGCTAACCTGGGTAAACAGGGGCAGCTCACAGAGGCCTTGACTCCAGTGTGCTTGCAATGGGTGTGACTTGGAAGCCCTCATTTCTGGTAGACCAGACACAGAAGGGCACAGTTGGTTGAAGGGATGCAGAAAAGGAAGTTCTGGTTGAAGCTGATCCATGAACCTTTTTCTTGGATCTTAACTGGGGCAAAAGTGGGCAAGGAGCCAGACATAGCAAAGACAAATACAGGGGTTTTATTCCTTTTTTCTTCTTTTCCATGTATTCCTTTGACTCTGAGAAAGTGCCCTGGTCTTTCAGAGTGGTGACAATGGCAGATGCAGCTTGGTGGTCAGTAAATGAAGAGTGTACAGCCCCAGGAGATCTGTGATTACAGTACCCACTGCAATGGCATCTTCCATGTTCGCTGCTTAAAGCAGAGGATCAGATGAGAAACCAGGAGGAAAGCTGCCAACCACATCTGTGCTCCCTGTGGAATTTTTTCCAGACAAGCTCAGGAATTATAGATGGTAGATGAAGGTATCAATGCCTTCCTGCTCTGCAGACAGAGGGATGTGATTCCCCCCTGCTGAAGCCCTTGATCTTCAGGACAGGGAGCTGCCAGTCCCAGTGGGCAGTAATTACCCAGGCTGGCAGTGCCAGGAACGCTCTGGGAGCCAGGGAGCCACAGCAGCTACCTAGAAAGAAGTTAAAATATTAGCATTTGTCATCCAGAGAGTTT